CGCCCAGAAAGGCAGGTGATCCGTGCCGAGGCGAAACAGCACTCTCAACCAGGGATGTGGTCAGCGCTGGGGCGGACACGATGGGGTGGCAGCACAATTCCCAAGCAAAAGTGTGGCAAGCGCTGAGGCGACAGTACTATTCCCAATCGCGGGTGTGGCCAACGCTCGAGATAGAGCACCATTCCGAGACAAGAGTGTGGCTGGAATGTTAGTTTCGGCGTTTTCCTTGGATTCCTCACTCTTTTCGTTTCTTCCCGTCCTCCTCCTCCTCAAAACTCGCCGAACCAACGGGCCAGAGGCGTGCTAAGGTCTCCGGCAACTGCTTCACAGTATTGCAATATTTCTACTTCCCGAGCGCGGGGCGGCCCCTGGGCGTCCCCGGCCGATCAGTTCCCCGACCGGTTCGGGTCAGAGCTGGTTTTCCTTCGGGGCGCCGCCCTTCAGGCCCTCCAGAGCGCTCCGAGAGGGCCCCAAAAGGCCCCCAAGACGGTCCAAGAGAGCTCCCAGTCGTCGAACGATCGGTCCAAGACGCCCAGTGTGGCCTTCAGATGGCCCAAGACGCCTTTCAAACGCCCCAGGAGGCCACCAAGAGCCCTCCCAAGAGGGCCCCCAGAAGCAACAAGTAATGGATTTTCTTTGGATTTTCTGAGATTTAGGCGTTCTCGCCTTTTCGAATTACCCGCGCTCCAATGTGGCCCACGATCGCCCGACTACGGCCCAAGACGTCTTGAGAGGGCCCCAAAACGGCCCCAGAGGGCCCGATGACTGCCCAAGAGCCGTCCAGGATGGCCCGAGAGGCCTCCAAGAGAGCTCCAAGAGCCGGCCCTGACGAGGCACCCGAACGGACATGTCTGCTCTCGGCCCCGAGAGGCCCCCAGAAGGCCCAAAGAAGCCTCCAAGAGGCTCGCAAGAGGCCCCCAGAGGCCCCCAGGAGGCCCCAGGAGGTCCCCAATATACTGCCAAGAGGCCCTCGAGAAGCCTCCCAAGAGACCCCTAGCAGCCTCCCAAACAGGCGTCTTGTCCACGATCAGGCTTGGTCACAAAATGACCCAAGAAGCGATCGAGAGGCCTCCTCCTCCTCCTCCTCCTCCTCCTCCTCTCCTCCTCTTCCTCCTCCTCCTCCTCCTCCTCCTCATCATCATCATCATCATCCCCTCGTCCTCCTCCTCATCCTCCTCCTCGTCCTCATCCTCCTTCCCGCTCGCCACGAGCATCCCCGCCCATGCTCGTCGCACTGGCCTGTGTGAATCGCCCCCGCTTCCCGAAGCTCCGTCGGCGCCACGTCCCTGGCGTTCTTCAGTGCGCCCAAGATGCGTCCCAGATGCCTCCCAAGATGGCTTCCAAGACGGACCTGGTAGGGAAACTTTCTCTCTCTCTCTCTCTCTCTCTCTCTATATATATATACACATATATATATATATATATATATATATATATATACCGACGCTTCTACTGGCCCTGCACTGAAACTTGCACAAAGAACCGATATCTGGTGTAAATACGGGATCCTGGTGTATGAATGTTTCGTTTCCCCAGGAAAGCGGGGAAAACATACACCACACCACCCCGATGTCGTCCCCGACCTTTTTAAAGTCCTGGGATTGAAAAAACAGCCCGCTACTGGTAATGTAGATGTTCCTGTTTCCGACTCAATGCTCCCAAGATGCGTCCCAGATGCTCAAGATGGCTTCCAAGACGAACCTGGGACGCCATCAAAGCCGCCAAGATGGCCGAATATTCCTCCAAGACAGCCGGAGAGGCCCCAAGAAAGCCCCAAGAGCGCTGCAAGAGGTCCCCCAAGACGGCCCACAGAGAGAAAATCCAGCGATTCTCTATAAGGTTTCTGAAGCTATCGCCTTTCAGAGCATCCGAGACTTCAAGACGATCCCAGGGGCCCCAAGACCGCCCCAAGACGGTCCAAGAGGCCCCCAAGAAAGTCCCAAGAGATCTCAAGACGGTCGCGAAACGGCCCAGGAGGCGCACAAGACAGCCCAAGAGAGCCCCAAAACGGCCCCAAGAGGGTGAACACGAACCGACAGTTCGAGCCTTGCGCCCGAAGAGGCCCCCAGGAAGTCCCACAAGGTCTCCAAGTCGCGCAATTTGGGCCAGCGGAATGAACAAAGCGATTCCATAATCTTGGAAAAGAGGGGGAGGATGAGGAGGAGGGCGAACTCGAGGATGACGACAAGGAAGAAGCACGACCACGAGCTAACCCCGATGAGGACAACGGCAACGGTGCGGACCACGAAGACGGCGGCGGCGGCGGCGACGACCACGGCTGCGGGGCGGATGACGAAGATAACGGGGGACACCAAAACAACCGCTGCTTCCCGGACCTCTCCCAGGGTTGCGTCCTGACCAGAAGCTCGAGGCGAGTCCAGCCGGGGCGACGAAGGCCTCCGAAGAGGCGCAGAATGACGGGAACGAGGGGGCAAACAGACCTACCTCGCTTTTGACCACCCTCGCTTCCAAGAGATACCAAGCGATGCCAAACTACAGC